GTGCGGGCGCTGGGCGGGGGGGGGGCGGGGACGGCCGCCCCGTGCCCCGGCGGGCCTGGTCTTCTGGGGGATGCGGCCCCTGGGCGCTCCCCGGCTGAAGCCGCCCAGCGAGGCGTTGGTGGCCATGTTGAAGACCAGCTTCCTACGGCTGCTCTGCTGGAAACGCGTGATTGCAAGGGCTGCGCCTCGCCGGTGGCGGTAGCAGGCCCCAGGCTGTGGAGACCGCTCTCTACCTGTGATGGCAGCGGAGCCTGCCCAGGCTCCCCTGCGGGAGAGGCAGCATACAGAAAGCGTGGTTAGATGCAGTTGCGTTTTACGCTGTCGCAGTTAGGATTTCATAAGAAATGAAGGCACGTGAATGAATTAAGTATGATACACATTCATGGTTTTATATTGCGATGGTACATCAAAAAAGCCAAGGTGTGTAAGACAGTACAAGTTCAAATTCGTAACGCTGCAACCTAAGGTGAGATGTGAAAGATAATTAAAGTGAGCTTGAGATTCCTTCACTCCTGTACAAACCCATTGCCTTCTTTCTTTTCCCTTCGCCTGTCCCCATGCCCTTCAAAACGAAGCCTTTAATAGTACAGGTATGCAGAATTGATCCCTTATTCCTGTCTGTATTTGCACTAAAGACTGAAGTGTCCCACCAGCTTCATTTTCACCACGCAGCCAACCACGACTGGTACCACCACACTGTAACCTACTGCTGTGAAAGCACCCTGTTTACAAATCCTTACTAGAAATGAGCCAGTTATTCTACACTGGAAAGTCTTCGTCGTCATCCTGATCTGTAAAACGTTCTGGTTACTGTCATTTCTGTGCCAGGTATGAATGATCATGCTCTTCACAGTTTGAAGTGACTCCTGGATCACAGGCTACTTTGTGCGTGGAGCTCTTTGCCAGGGGGAAGCTTTTTTGCATGTTCCCTGTTATTGAAGAACCCGAGCCCCTGCCAGGTTTGAGGTGCTTCACCTTGTTTAGTCACAGCAGACGTGTTTCAGAACTGCTCAAAGCCACACGAGGAGACGGCGGCAGTGTAATTACTTCCTTGCTGCTTCTCTCTACGCTCCTTCCTTCTCTGCCTGTTTGCTGGCTACCCTTTTGTCCTCATCCCCGATCGCTACCTGGGAGACCAAATCTTCAGCTGCTGCCCCACTTTGAATCACTATTTTGCATCTGCCAGGTAAAACACGTCCCGGTTTTGCCTCAAATGCAGGATTCCTCCTGCACAGAACCGCTCCTCCTTTTTACTGCACGTGCCTAATTGATTTTGAAATGATCTGCCCACGTGCCGTGAGCCATGCATTGACACTTCAGCCTTTCTGAAAGGACAGGACAGTGGGGGAAATCACTTTTTACCTGTTTTTAAAGCTGCTGCTTATAATCTTTAGTACTGGCTTTTATTTTAGTAAGAACTAGTGTTTCAACAGTCAATACGTACGAAAACGAAATGATACTCAAGCTGTGCTTCAAACCATTCAGTACTCCAATGCATCAGCAAAGGAAACATCTACCACCGCTTTTTCACAAAGATTTTACAAAAATACAGAAAGGCCTGCATACCTTCCATGTTTTATCTGTTCCCCATACATACTGTCCAGTTTCCACGAAAGACAGATATATGAAAATAACTGATCCAGACTCTACCCTCGTCACCTCTGAATTACACGAAGATTGTTATAAGGAATACTTTACAATACATCTACCTACTTCAGAATTTAAAGACTAGCATGATCCTATTCTGCCTCAGGCCAATGTTACCATGGCTCATTAGGTTTGCTACATAAACCAGAATACGGCTTCACAGCAGAGAGGTGATACTCATAAGCGCCACAGGGATGAGAAAAAAGTATTTCATGTAAGAACAGTAACTCTGGTATCTGGAACAGGATGAAGCTGAGTTTTGAGATACTCCCGCTGTACACAGATATAGAGCGAGTTATGAAAGAGAGTGCTTAACTTAGAAATTCAGAATTTATTTACAAGTTTTCACTAGAAAAAGGAAACAACATAAAACTCTCCTCCTGGATATACTCTACTCTGCAACACACTGCAACTGAAGATCATTAAATTCATTTACACATTTTACAGATTTATCTTTGTATACAACAGCGTACGCTTTAGTCATCAAGACGTCGGAAGAAGAGATGATAAACTAAGCTGCTTTAAAATAATGAAACTGCCAGGTTTCCTTTGGCCTTCCCCACTTTAAAAATAAGCTAAAACATTTTAGCAGAGGAACAGACATAAGACTTCTAACTTTTCTAAAAAAGGTACATGAGAATCAGAATTCTTCAGTTCAAACTTGCTATACAACATTGGACCTAACCCAGCAGTCTTAATTGAGACGAGATCTGTGCCAAAGCAATTAGCGATATTCTCTGCGACAGGACTGCAAGATCACACCCACAGTTTCAGTTTCGAAGCTGTTAATTTAACAAAGGAAGATGGAGGGCGGGGGAAGCAGCAGCAGGAATAGGAGAGGCTGCAAATTTGCTGGGTTTTAACAAAGAATTGCATCGGAAAAGGGCACAGTATTCCCCTCCCACATTGCCCAAGAAGCTCGGAATACAAATGGCTCCCCACTTCCAACACGCTAATAACCGCGCAGAGGTTTAACACACGTTTTAAAAAGTCTAATAATCCTTGACAGAACAGGAACAAACGCTAATCGCTAATATCACCCGCTAGTCTAAATTAACACAGAATTGCCCAGCTTTAGGTACAGCTTTTTTAGATTTTGCATAGCAATTGCACCTATTTTCAACTCACTTCACCATCAGCATGAAACATTAGTGATTTTAAAAGACTACCAAACACCAAAAATCCTGTTCTCAATCTAACCAGGAACATTCGCCTTCCAACGCAAACTGAATCAGGACTTCACCCAGCTAGTTTTTGTCTCCCTCAGTATCACAACTGTACTTCAGTAATTTGCAACGTGTTTGTAGAGCCTAATTCGTATTCTCTTAAACAGTACTGTGGTAGTAATTGAAATTAAAAACACTGGTTTTCTTAATTTAAAAATAAATTGGGAAGCGTACCGAAGGAAATTCATCCCTGAGTAACAAGACATTTAAAAACCCATCGACAACCATTGCAATACGTT